AACGGTGGAAAAATTATACGAAACAAGAATAGGGAAGGGGCTCATTAAAGGCGTTTTATTAAATTTCCCGTGGCGGCGTCGCCAGTCTTTGCTGGTGTTTTCTAACCAATTGACCAGTCATTTTACTCCAATTTGGCTATGGGTGAGCTTAAAATTGAATTTTGTGCAAAAAGAGAAGTTTTTACCTTTTTTGGCTGTCGAAAAAGGTTTCAGTGCAGCGGCGGTCGGCTCCCTAACGGTTGGGTTGTCTTCTCCGGTGAGAGGTTCTGGCGACTAGGGTTAGGATTTTGTGTGGATGAAGGTTATTTATATCTATCCGCTTTTGATCTGGACCGTCCATTGCGTTTGATCTGAACCGTCCGATCGCGATTAAACAAGAAGTGAATCTGGACCGTTCATCGCAATTTAATCTGGACCGTTCATCGCGATTCAATCTGGACCGTTCATCATGATTCACTTTGGACTGTCCGATTGCATTTGAATCTGATCGTTCGATTTTGTTTGGGAGGGAGCGCATCTAGGCAGTCCGTGCGCACGGAAACGGATCTCAACCGTTCAATCGCGGGCACGCAGATCGCCCTTGTGCCTGCGATCGATTCCTGCGAGCAACACGTTAAGGGGTCTCGGTTGTCTGAAAAAATACAAAAAATCGAAGCTCACAGGTGACGGGGCTCTCTGGTGCGATGGCTCATCCGACTCACGTTGCGATTGGGTATTTTGCTTCGGTCAACCTGTAGAGAAGAAAACGGTGATCACAACAGTAGAAAAATTATGGGAAACGGGAATCGGGAAGGGCTCATCAAAGGCGTTTTGTGAAATTCTCCACGGCAGCTTCGCTGAAGTTTTTCGACTAATTGGCCGGTCTTTTCACTTCGATTTTGCTATGTGTGAGCTTAAAATTACATTTCGTGCAAAATGAAAAGTTTTTAGCTTTTTTGGCGGTCGGAAAGAATTCTAGTGCGGCGGCGGTCAACTCCCCGACGGCTAGGTCGTCTTCTCCGGCGAGGGGTTTTTGCAGCTAGGGTTAGGGTTTGGTGCAGATGAGAGTTATTTATATCAATCCGCTTTTAATTTGGGTCATCCATCGCGTTTGATCTGGACCGTCTGATCACGATTAAATAGAGAGTAAATCTAGATCGTTTATCGCAATCCAATTTGGATCGTTGGATTGTGTTTGAATCTAGCCGTTCGATCGCATCTTGGGGGAGGGCATCCGGGCCGTCCATTAGCGTAGGAACGGATCTCAGCTGTTTGATTGCGGGCACGTGGATCGCCCACGTCACCCCTCCCCCTTCCCCGCGTGGCCTCCCGCGTTAGTGTCTCTGCCACTTGGCGCGTCCTGGTTGGTCAGAGCTGCTTCTGACGTGGCGAAACTTCTCAAAATTACATTTTGTCTCCTATTTTCTGATTTTTCTTTCAAAAAGAGAACCTAAATTTTTACCAATTTTTTTAAAAATTATTTTCAATTAAATCTTCCATCAATTTTATTTATTTTTACTCTAAATAAAATAAATTAATAAAATTTATATTTATAATTTATTTAATCACCACAAAAAATTTGTGGGTGTTACATATTCTTATTAATTATTATTACATATCTTCAACTTGTAATATTTTACTTTAAAGAAATTAAATCAGAAATCCAATCAATTAAGTCTCTAGTATGAAAAAGTAGTGAACTGATTAAATTTGTGATTATGAGAAACTCGATTTAATCAGCACGTTAAAGTTATTATAAAATAAAGTTGTACAGTTGTATAGTTCACCTGCTCAATCGGGCTTGTAAAATTTTTAGAAAATTCTATAATTAACATTTTCAGTTAAAAAGGAAAATTATTCCATGAAGAATCTTTTTTTTTTTGGTAATTCGAAGGACCACTGCTATTTATGTTCCTGCAGGGTGTGCTGGTGGTGCCCCTGTGCCCCCCCCTTGGCTATATATTTCATATAATTAACTAACAACCACCTTTGTCCTGGTCAAAATTAGCCAACACATGTGTCTACATATTATATATATATATATATAATCTTTTAAATAAAATAGGCCATGTGAACAAATAATAATATTCAAAAAACAAAATAGAGATGTTAAAATCATTGTTAAATCAAAATTTAATTCCATTTTTTCTCAAGAAAATTTGAAAAAAGAATCACAATAATTGTGATTAGAAAAGCTTAATTAAAATTATAAGTTTTATTTGAGAAGAGTTATAAAAATAATTTATTGTGTTAAATTTGAAGTCACGTTAGGCATCTAAAATAAGTAAAAAGTTATAATGGATGATTTTATATTTTATCACAGTATAGTAAATGGATGATTCAATATGAATATTGAATAAATTAAAATATGCAAGGGAATTTATATTTTTATTATTTTTTTATAGTCTATTTTTTTTATTTTTATATAAATTGCATTAAACTTGTTAATATTTTAATATAATTATAATTTGATCTAATATAATTTAATTAAATATCTATAAAATAATGGGAAATTTAATTTGTATGAACAAACAAAAGAAACCATGAGTAAATAAGTTATAAATATAAAAAATTTAAAGATAATACTAAAATATATTTGTATATATGATTTTACTAAACTAAACTGAAAGTGATAAATTACATTAATAATTTTTGTTAAAAAAGTAAAACATTTAATTGGTTAATTTAAAAAAAAAAAAAAGGTGGTGGAATTTGCTAACGACGATCTCCACCTTATCAAAATATAAGGTGGCGGGTCAACATCCTTCGTTGGTAAGATAACAGATTTAAATTAAATTAATTAAATAACGATTAAGGAGATAATATTATTTAATCCCTCGTAGGAAAATTGTTCCTCGTATTGCTTTCACGACACATCATTAGATGTGGGCCCCACTAGCCTTTTCTTTTGCATAAACAAATCCATCATTATAATCCTAATTAATTAATACTTAGTTAGTGGTCTTTAAAATATAATAACACACGGCTTAATCATCTGCTTATTGGTCCGCCCGTGCATCTTTATTTTCTCCGCCTTCCTCTTAAATTGTATTTATTTAAATTAAAAAACACAATTTTCTAAAAACAATAAAATTTAAATTCACAAGGAATTTTGGGTAAAATCATAATTATATTTTATAAAATTAATTACAATAAAAAATATATTATTTTAATTTAATATAAATCTTCACATAATCTCATAATTCTCTTTTTACATTAATAGAAATTTTTTAAGATTATTATTATTATTTCTTATTCATTTTTAGAGGCTTCGTAAATATTTATTATTACGGTGGAGGAGGGAGTTGGTTCGGGTCATTTTGGGATGGGTTCTGGGTCGACAGGGCCCGGCCTAATTGTGTGATAATTTTTATTTTTTTTTTAAAGTTATTTCTTTCTTAAGCATCTTTCATTTATTTTACACATTTCTTGTTCCTTTTTATACCATATACATATATTTTTTCAAATTCACCTAATAAATTTAATATAATATATTGAAAGGTATATATACATATATATATATTTTGTTATCAAGATAATAACTTATTATTTTATAGTAATTATAGAATATTTTGATATTTGATATAATTTACTTATAATCTATAAAATTTATACTTGAGCTAAATATAGAAACAATGTATTTATGAAAAATAATTCATTTCAAGGCAACGAGTGAAGATGGGGAGATGCCACCAACCCTAACCTACTAATATTTGCATTTATCAACTTGACCACAAGGAATCCAAAATATTTCCTCTCTAACCATAAATTAAAATTGCGAATAGTAAAAGAGCCCCTCCTCCTCCTCAAATTCACACTTTGTCCCCATATATAACGACAACATTTTATTATCATTATTTATTTTTGGTGCTCCAATTACCAGTGTAAATATGGTATTTATATAAGAAAAAAAAAAATGTGTTGGTTTGAACATAAAATTAAAAAAGGGTATTTTTTAGCAAGGCAGAGTAAGAATAAATATCCAACAACTATCTCCATCTATTGTTTTCATTATTAGCCAAACATATCCCACTACTCCTAACATTCCAGTTCAAGTAATGAATTGAATTGAAAACTCAATCACCATCAACCAACTACCAAACCCATATCATAAAAACATGACTCCCACAGACACAGACAAACAGACCGAACATGGCTAAGAAGAACCAGCAGCAGCTGACATTGGGATCAATCAGATGCAGCTTCCATTACCTTCTCGTCATCCTGCTGGCGCTCTTAGTCGTCACTGTCATATACCTCACCCAAGTTTATACCAGTACTGGCCGATTAGCCGATAAGACTAATTCCTTGATCGGTGAAGAAAGTTCAAGTTCTTCTTGTAATTTGTTTGCAGGCAAGTGGGTATTTGATAATGAATCATACCCTCCATATAAAGAGCGACAATGTACGTTCATGTCTGATCAGTTGGCATGCGAGAAGTTTGGAAGGAAAGATCTCAGTTACCAGTTTCTGAGGTGGCAACCTCACCAGTGTGACCTCCCCAGGTCTCTAATTCTCTCTCTTATCCTCACCCTGTATCTATATATACACACACGCGTCTATGCATATGTAGATATATGTGTGTGTGTGGATTGGTAATGAACGGTGGTTGGTAGTGTATACAGTATTCGAGCTTTATGGGGTGTTTTTGTGTTTTATGTTAATAAGGTTGAATGGCACAGCAGTGCTGGAGAGGCTAAGGAACAAGAGGCTTGTTTTTGTTGGAGATTCTTTGAATAGAAACCAATGGGTTTCAATGGTGTGCATCGCTGATTCCGCCATTCTCAATCAGTCTCTCAAATCCATGCATTCTAATGCCTCGCTCATCTCCTTCGTAGCCACTGTAAGTTTCAGTTCCATTTTTTATTATCATTTTTTTTTTATTTTTTATGGGCCAGGCCCAAATGATGTAAGTTTATCTCGGCTCGGCCTAATTAGTTCAGTACTATAATAAAAAATGAGCTAATATCACCCAAAAAAAACAATGACAAAAACAATACGACAATGAAGGAATACAATGCAAGCATAGAGTTCTACTGGTCTCCATTGCTGGTGGAATCAAACTCCGATGACCCAGTGAATCACCGATTACCAGATCGAATTGTGAGAATTCAATCAATAGAAAAGCATGCTAGGCACTGGACTGATGCTGACATACTTGTTTTCAATTCCTATCTTTGGTGGAGAAGGCCGAGAATGAAAGTCTTGTAAGTATAAGCTGTACCCATATTGCATGTCCCCCTCATTAATTCTACTACATATATCTAGATACGTATATGATTTGAATTATAATTACAGGTGGGGATCATTTGATAATTCTGATGGGATCTACAAAGAAGTAGAGATGCCTAGGGTTTATGAGATGGCCCTTCAAACATGGTCACAGTGGTTGGAATTTCATGTCAATACGAGCAAAACCCAGTTGTTTTTCATTACCATGTCTCCTACCCACCAGAGGTATACATTTGACATTTCTATATTTGCTTTATATACACATAAAAGATTCAATCTTGGGGCTTATTTTTTAACTCACAAGAAATTAAAACTGTGTGATGTTAGGGCTGAAGAGTGGGGAGGAGAAGAAGAACAGAACTGTTACGGTGAGACAAAACCAATTGAAGAAGAAGGACATAAAGGAAGCGGGTCGGATCCAAAAATGATGGAAATAGTGAAAAGAGTTAGGGATGATTTGAGGAGAAGATCAGGAATTAATGTGAAGATGATAAACATAACACAACTTTCAGAGTACAGGAAAGAAGGGCATCCATCAATTTACAGAAAGCAATGGGAAGCTTTGACCGAAGACCAATTAGCTGACCCGACAAGTTATTCGGATTGCATTCATTGGTGTCTTCCCGGAGTTCCTGATGTCTGGAACCAGCTCCTCTATGCTTATCTTTGACAATTTTTGAACTGGAAAATAAAAAATCATGACTACTGACTTATTTCTAAGTTTTCCTTCTTTTCTTTTTTAAGATTCAATGCCAAATAGAGAAAGAAAATGTCTATTTTTGTTGAATATATTTATTCATTTTGATATATGATATGTTTTATCATAAACTTCCTATTTTGGAACTAATTTAACAACATAAATATAAATTACAAATAACTTTCCCATTTTTTTTTATTAAATTCATAATGCAAATAGTTTGATTATTACAGAGATCACATTCAAATTAAAAGGATTGTACTCTAACTCAATCTCAACTAATTAACTTTAAAATATAGTTAAATATAAAATGTTTTTTTTTGGTTAAAAATGTTAATTTCAGTAATTAAAGCAGATGACCCGCTAAATTTATGTTTTATTTTTTCTCATCCACTAATAACTATCGAAACTAAATGAAAGAACACCTAAAATAATAAGTAACCGTTTTAAAAAAAATAACTTTAAAAAAATATGTAACTATTAAATAAATTATGAAATTATTATATTTTATGAGAATTAAAATATAATAATAAAAAAATATTATCAACACATTCAATTATCATGAATATGGTTTACTCTTTTCTCTCATGTATAAAGAAAGCACAAATTTTTCTTTCATAGGCGTCTTCCATCACCTAAAATTACAAATTTTTTGTGTATAATAGTTAGATAGAGAGAAAAAGTAGGTCTCTCGATCACATTATGACTGCATCATCTTCGACTGATATGTACCTCTAACTTTCTACTATTTTTTTTTTAAAATGTATTGAATTCTATAAAATGACTTCTGTATTAAATATTCTTACAAAAAGAACACACATCTTTTTCTTAAAAAATCAATTAAAATTTTCTAAAAAATAAAAATTTAAGAAAATGTCATAATCAACATTGACATTTTATCATAGTTTAAAATTAATTTTTTTAATGACTAAAAATTATCTACTTCAAGCAAGAAAACCTAACAGTTAAGTAATATTATTTTGGTTAGAAGAATAATAAATTTTCTTAAACTTAAGTCAATTTAATCACTGCATTCCTGCCAATACACTAATAAATTAAGTTTTTAGTTTTATTAAATTAAGTATTATAAATCGGCCAACATCAACCTGTAATATATTTATAAAATCATAATTTTTATATTCGTAATGAAATCTAAATCCATGACTTTTTAAAATAGAATATAAAATTTTTAACTACTAAATCAATATTTTATTAGTATTATTTAGAATTGAACTAGTTGTTTGTTTATATTATTGAAGATAAACATGAGATTAGATCATGTCAGCAATCTTAATTCTTCATTTTTTTTTTAATTTCAGAAAAAGATTGCTAGATTTTCTTGTAAGACTTTTGAGTAGTATGCTACTTGTTCTTTAGGGGAAATAAAATAGTGATTTTGTATTTTAACGATGATCTTAACATACATTGATGTAATAATTCATTAAACAAGGATATAATGCATGTTCAAATACAAAATTAGTTTGTAATTATGCTTAAAATCCACTGTCTTTTACAATTTTCCAAAATATCATCATTGAGTAAAACGACAAATTGGGAAAGAGAGAACTTAGAAGAAATGCTAACTGTCAACCGTTACAATTTATTTTAACGAACTTATTTACAGTTACATAATTCTTATATTTGTATTTCTAAATTTATTTTGTAATCTGAGTTTTTTTTAAATAAAAAATATATTACATAGGAATCTAAATTCTTTTTTTTTTTTTAACTCTACAAATTAATAATTTATTTATATCCAAATAATCGAAAGAACTGATAAAAATTAAGAGATAAAGAATTAAAATTTAAAAAATCAGAAGAACAAACCGACGAGGTAAGTCGCTGTAGAATCTAACTGGTTTGGTTTTTTGAAGTATTCCAGGTATCGAATTTAATTATCCAAATTATTACCACTTTAATCATATTTAATGATCCAGCTCAGCTTAACGTTGACCCGTCCCTGAATCACGGTAATCCAATCAGTAGAATCTAGCACAGTGAGTGCATGGTCTTCCAGTGACACCGCTAGTACCAGATCACTCTCTGAGCAGACACCTCCTCGTGCCCTGCCCTCTTGTAGCAGGTAAATGAATCTTCGAACGAATTTAATCTTGCTCTGTTTATTTTATAGTGGCTACAACCCACTAGCAGGCCTGCAGATTTTCTTTACGCTCTCAAGATGCAGAGATGGAGCAGAAGGAAGCCGCATTTACAGCTCTTGGCATTTCTCTTTATCGGCTTCATAATGCTCACAATCTTCTACAACGAAAGTAGCATTCAACAAATCCATGAAGACTCAGATCAAGATAATCATAATCAAAAGATTGTATATATCAAACCAAATGTTCCCAGAAACAGTCGATTACGAGCTCCGGGTATGGTTTTCTTCTGGTTCACCGACAGGCTTTACTGGGTTTAATCTGTACACTGCAGAGTGTAACTCTTTCTTGTTTTTCCGCCTGTGAGCTTTTCTTTAATTCGATACGATTAGTAGAACTTCGATATCTAATGTTTTCTTCTTTATTTTGGTGGATTTGCAGAGATTTTAGATAGATTCAGTATATGCAACTCTAGTAGGGAGTATAGTGGCAAGAAAATCATGTGGGTGGACCCAACGCGGGAATCGGGTCGGAGGTGGGTGAGTGATACGGAGAAGTGCGATGTGTTTTCCGGCAAGTGGGTTTTTGATAATATTTCTTATCCGCTATACAAGGAATCGGATTGTCCGTACATGTCTGATCAGCTGGCTTGCCACAAACATGGAAGGCCTGATCTGGGATATCAGTACTGGAGATGGCAACCTCATAACTGTAACTTAAAGAGGTATTCTTGTTCTTGTTCTTTTAATTCCAGTTTCTTTTTCTGTATGAATTTCCTGAAGAATATGGCTGTTAGTTGTTGTAGAATTTATGTTAATTTCAATTTGGAATGTGCAAAAGAACATTGCAGAACTCAAGTCTAGTGTCTTGAGTTCCAGAGAACTAGAAACTAAACAATGCAACCTTATTAATATTTGAGCTTAACACGCCAGTTGAAAATTTTCAACTACGGGTTGTTTTTTGTGGACAGATATGGTGATATGTGTTCTTTCTTTTATTTTTCTGCTTTGTAGATGGAATGTGACTGAAATGTGGGAGAAGTTGAGAGGGAAGAGGCTAATGTTTGTTGGGGATTCATTAAACAGAGGGCAGTGGATATCAATGGTGTGTTTGTTGCAGTCAGTAATTCCATCAAACAAGAGATCCATGTCGCCTAATGCTCCCCTTACCATTTTCACCGCAGAGGTTAGCATGGATATACTTTGTCTTTTGTGTCACCCATACTCCGGTTATCCTCGTGTTAACACAAAAAAAAATGGGTCTCAAGTTTGTTTTGTTAGCACCTTATTTGAAACATGTATGTCATGAGTGATAAACTTGGGAATCTTATTCTTATCTTGTTGCTCTTGATTGTTCTGTGTTTATGGAAACTTCAGGAGTACAATGCAACTGTGGAATTTCTTTGGGCCCCTCTGTTGGTTGAATCTAATTCTGATGACCCAGTTAACCACAGATTGGCTGACCGGATAATGCGACCAGATTCAGTGCTTAAGCATTCATCAAAATGGGAGCATGCCGACATACTAGTTTTTAACACATACTTGTGGTGGAGACAAGGCCCTGTTAAGCTGTTGTGAGTATGATAACATTCAAACATATATAATTACGACATACTGCCTTCTCAAAGAAACAAAATCATAAAAGAGCTGGCTCCTAATTTCAATTTGCAATCCTGCAGATGGAGTACAGAAGAAAATGGGATTTGTGAGGAACTTGATGGTCTGGGAGCCATGGAGTTGGCCATGGGAGCTTGGGCAGATTGGGTAGCCACCAAAGTCAATCCCCTCAAGAAACGGGTCTTTTTTGTTACAATGTCCCCTACACATCTTTGGTAAGTGTCTTACTGGCTATTGCTAACCTGAAATTTTTTTTCTATCCTCATCTAGGTACATGAGTCATTTATATATGTGATCCATATTGAGAGTGTAAAAATTTGTTCCATGGCTACTTGGTCATCCTAATGTGATCATGAGGCACTTGTCTTGTTTTTGTCCGTGAGGTCAGTTCCACCTCAGAAGCAAACATACTCTAGAGCTTGTGTCAAGCTGCCTTAGTGTCCTCTCTCTGGCTTGGAATTATTTTGGAACTGGGGTGTTGATGCTCATGTGGAATAACAATATAAACATCATCGGGTGGAAAAACTATTAATTTGTTGTTCAGAGACCTTTACAATAATCTATTCTTAAAGACTACATAAAACTGAAGTTATACTTTATGTCAATCCTCAGGTAAATGCTTGTTTTTCCTTGATGTCTTTCATTATTCACTAAAATCTTACACTAAAGGTCTTCTTACAACTTACAAGGCCTAAAAAGAAACATCATTTTCTGTTGAGAGGGGCAAAGAACAATTAGTGCTTCCTAGTCCTATATGTAACTTGATAGTTGCAGGAGGAAATTCTACTGCCTGGTAGGCAGTTCAGTATAATTTGAAATGCTATCTACAACCATGCCAAAACTCAGGATCCTTTCACTTTTTTAAGGTTGTAGGAGTTTCTCCCTATTGAGAATGTGTCATGACATGTCTCCTATATCTTAGTTCTGCTTCTGTTCTTTAATCAGGAAACGAGAATGGGAATCAGGAAGTGAAGGAAATTGCTATGGCGAAAAGAGTCCTATCAATGATGAAGGCTACTGGGGTAGTGGTTCGGATTTGCCCACAATGCGAATGGTGGAGAAAGTGCTAAGCAGGCTGCGCTCAAAGGTTACTGTTCTCAACATTACTCAGCTGTCAGAGTACCGAAAAGAAGGTCACCCTTCCATTTACCGGAAATTCTGGGAGACATTTAGCCCGGAGCAGTTGTTGAATCCTGCAACATACTCCGATTGCATTCATTGGTGCTTACCAGGGGTACCTGATGTATGGAATGAATTATTGTTTCATTTTTTGTGAAGCCAAACCTAATATGCAAAATAAGTTTCTGAGTGTTTTGTCTCATATATCATTTGGAAAAGCAAAGGAGAATTAGGCCGTCTGTATTTCCCGAAGGGAATGAGGGATGTGGAGGTAAATTCCTCCATGGGAGAAGAGCACAAGTTAAAGCAAAGAGATAGTGCCTTTGTTGAATATGTATTATGCTTGTAGCTAATCAATCATTTGTTTTCTCCAACTAATTCAAATAGTTTGCAAAGAGGTGAAATTAGCTAGTAACATGTTAAATTTGGTAATCGGAGTCTTGAATGTTTGTAAACATATTCTGTTATATATATATATATATATATATATATATATATAATTTATAGGTCCCTAAAAATTTATTTTCATTAACGTACATATTCTGTTATATATGTATATATAATTTGTAAGTCCTTAAAACATTTATTTTCATTCGTTTATGTAAACTTATACCTGTATCTATCCGTACATAACTTTTAGGAACTATATGCTCATTCAAAGGAACTACATACTTTCATATATAGCATATTATATTAATTATTATTTCTAAAAGAAAAACTATATATTTACTAAGAGAAAGAGTTGAATACTTCTGAACATATTTTCTGTTAATAAATATTTTAAATTATATTTACCTTCATTTATTTATCTAAACCATGCCCATATATATAGGTATGATTTAGGAACTATATAATCTTTTTTAAGTATAACTTGCATATATGAAACTTTATATATATATATGAAAGAAAAAAAAAACTGGAAATTAATTGTCAACACACTGTTAATATATTATTTCTCAAAATAGGATTGCAAAGATTGGACTAAAGGAAGTGGAAAACTGTAACACCCAACATTTATTTTTTTTATTTTTAATTGAATTTAATTTAGTTTATTTTATTTTAATTTAATTTAATAAAAAAAATAATAATAAAGGATAAAAATTAGTTGAGGATTTAATTGAAAATAATTTTAGAAAAGTAAGTAAAAATTTAGGTTCTTAGGGTATTTTTGAAAAAAAATTAGAAATCGGAGATAAAAACGTAATTTAAAAAATTTCGCCACGTCAAATGCCCGATCAGCAGTCCCGACCAACCAGGACGTGCCAGATGGCAGAGGCGCTGACGCGAGAGGCCACAGGGGAGGGGGGGAGCCACGTGGGCGATCCACGTGCGCGCAATCGAACGGCTGAGATCCGTTCCCGCAACGCACGGACGGCCCAGATTGAAAACGCGTACGGACGGCCCCAGATTGAAAACGCGTACGGACGGCCCAGATTGAATTGCGCATGGACGATCCAGATTGAATCGCGCACGGACGGTTCAGATTGAATCGCGATGAACGATTCAGATTCACTCCCTATTTAATCGCGATCGGGCAGTCCAGATCAAAAGCGATGGACGGCCCAGATAAAAAACAAATTGGTATAAATAACCCCATCCGCACCAAAACCTTAACCTTAGCCGCCAAAGCCCCTCGCCGGAGAAGACAGCCCAACCGCCGAGGAGTCGATCGCCGCTACCCGTCGCTGCACTGGAGTAATTTCCGACCACCAAACGAGGTAAAAAAATTTCCTCTTGCATGAAATTCAATTTTAAACCCACCCATGGCCAAATCAGAGTGAAAGAATAGGCTAATTCGCCGAAAAACGCCGCCGAAGCTTGGCGGCCGCTGCGGGAGTGTTTCGAAAAACGCCTTTGATGAGGCCCTTCTCGATTCACGTTCAATGTGATTTTTCCACCGTTGTGATCACCGTTTCCTTCTCTACAAGTTGAGCGGAGTAAAATACCCAACTGCAACGTGAGCCGGAGGAGCCGCCACACCGGAGAGCCCCACCACCGGTGAGTTTCGATTTTCTACGTTTTTTCGGCCCACCGAGAACTCTAAGTATGTTTTCTCACAGGAACTGATGCAAATTTGGCTGAATTCGGCCAAAAACAGCCAACTCGAGGTAGATTGCTACCGCAAGCGGCAGTGCCCTTACCGGAGCACGGCGGAGCCGCCGTGCCGGATTTTTGAAATTGGCTGAGTAGGCCCTGGGACTGATTTTTTGGGTTTATTTAGAATATTTGTAGGTACTGTAAGCGAGTTTCAATTCCCGAAGAAAAATTCAGGAAACCTAGGGACCACCCGTAGGTGCAGTAATCATTTAGCTTTTCGACGTCAAATCAAGTAAGGACCCCTAACCCTATTTCCTATCATGGAATTGAAGTTCAAATAAATAATAATACGGTCTTTTGTACAAATTAAATAGTTATGCATAATTAATTACGGATTGCTAATGGAGCTCGAATCGAACATTGTTCTCTGTTGATTTTTGTTAATTTATTTTACAGTTTAAAGGCATGATGCTATCTTGTTTAGGATTTTAAATGCATGTATTACTATCTTACTTGACCACTGTGTGATTTTGGGATTTAAGATATGATTGCATTACCGGGTGCATGTTAATTGTTTATGTGATTGTGTTTGATTTGGTAACGAAGACTAAGGAAAAACAGGAAAGACGTGTGATCTGATAAATAGATAAGATGACAGCCTCACTAGATATCTTGGGAGATGGTGGACGGACCGAGTTCATTGGGAACCCTATCGTGAACGTTGTCTCATACCGGACGGGATATGGAGACTTGGTCATTTGGTACTCATACAGGACGGGGTATGGGAACAGCCCGCATCACCCTCATACCGGACGGAGTATTGAGGGTTAATATCTTGGCGCTCATACCGGACGGGGTATGGGGTCGACTATGTAATTAAGACTGTTAAGGAAAATGATTCACATGTAACGGGGGTGCCCTATGGATCCCCATGGATACTAGTAGGCTGGTGAAACGAGAAACGGTTATGATTTAATTTATTGTTAATAAATGTGAATTTATGATCTGTTCTATATTGCTGATCGTACATGAAATTGTGATCTGTATGATATTATTGCTTATATAAATTGTTTTTATAAATTCTCCAATGGTAAGTAAAAGGTTAAATGGTTTTACTTTTAATGAATGTATTGGTTTAAATTTAGTGCTCCATTGGTTGTTTTTGATTTTCTATCAACCTTTACTTCTGTGCTGGTGATATAGTGTGATGTCCTTACTGGGCTAGTGTAGCTCACCTCTTATTTAACCATTTTAGATCAAGAGAACCTCGTTCCCGAGCTCGATATGCAAGAAGACTGCGAGTAGATGCTAGATACTTTATAGTTTCCTTTGCTTTTCTCATTTCTTGTGTTTCTTTCAGAGAATTCATTCTGTGATGTTTGTTTAGTACTTTTAAGTTATTGTATAAGGGATCTAAACCTTAACTTTTTATTTCGCTTCCGCACTTAAATTATTATATATTTTCTTTTGGATTTCTGGGATCATTACAAAAACAAGAACACAAATAATATTGTGAAGAGTGAAATACAAACTCATGCTCATTTGGATAAGAACTTTAATCTGCCACCTTAAACCAACTCATTCATCTCCACTAAGTACTCAAAATCTCCTGTAATTACAATAAGGCAGAATTTATCTTTGTTATATGGCAAAAGATATTGACGCGATCCGATCAACAAAACAAAACATCTATTACCTGTCAATCTATCATTGATAATGCTTAAGCAAATACTGAAGATAAAATGAACAAAAGACCGAGTTATGATATATACTAACAAAACTTCAAAATTAGATTGTTAACAATGTCCAATTTTTTATGTTTTCTTACTCTTTTGTCTTTTTTTTTTTTTGTGTTTTCAGAACACGTGATAAGACTAATGTGTGAGGTTAAAATTATCAAACCTCATAATTTTTTGAAATGACATGAATGTTGTGGATGGAATTATCCTTCACTTCTTCTTCTTCTTCATGATCTCACCGATGAGCCTTCTTTGATGATTGGTAGAATGAATTTCAAACACTCATGTTTTTTTTTTCTTAACTGTCTTATTTTTTCACTACAAGTATTTGCAGCTGGTGATCTTCATATGATGTTTAAGAGATTTTAGATTTCGTTAACCTATTAATATAGATATTTAAGAATGAGAAAGTATTGATAGAAACTTAACTCTTCCTTAATACAAAAGGGATTTATAGAGGAAAGAAAATACATATATATGGTAAACCATAAATACATATATTTACATGCACCTTAAAATTCATGTACCATCTAAACATGCATGTATCTTAATATAAATGTGTACTAAGAAAAGATCAACAATCATCTATGAGCTAGCTTGTAATGATTGATATTTATTGTTGTGTGTCAGTATTTGCTTTGCATAAACTTGAAAAGGATAGAAATTGTATATCATATTAATGTACATTGAACACAAACTTGAAATAGATATAAATTTATGAGGGAAAGTGTACAAAACCATGCATTTTTCTAACTTATATCACATTAATTGTATGGTGGACTCTAATTTTTTTTACTAAGTTAGGAATTTTTTATGTAAGTATTTGATGTGAAGATTTATGATATGCAAGTAACTTATTGTTTTGAATGACGTTTTATATTTTATTATATATATGATAATCAATAATTTTAATATAATAGTTATTAAATAAATTTTATTATATTTAATATTTTTATTAAATAATATCATAAAAATATTGAGATTAATTTTTAAAAAAACTTTGAAACGACCATAGAAATCCAAAAGGAAATATATAATAATTTAAGTGCGGAAGCAAAATAAAATTAAGGTTTACATTTCTTACACAATAACTTAAAAGTATTAAACAGTATTACAGAATTAATTCTCTGAAAGAAACGTGAGAAATAAGAAAAACAATGAAAAATAGAAAATATCTAACATCTACTCGCAATCTTTTTGCGGATCGTGCTCTGAAACCAGGTACTCTTGATCTAAAATTGTTAAATAAAGGATGAGATACACTAACTCAATAAATGTATCATACTATATCACCGGCACATAAGTAAATGTTGGTATAAAATTAAAAACTACTAATGGAACATTAAATTTAGTAAATTCATTTATTAATCATAAAATTATTTCTCGTTCACTTACTATAGTGAAATTTACGAAAACAACCTATAAAAATAATAATACCATACGGATCATAATTTTATGAACCATTAGCAACATAGAACGTATTATAAATCCATATCCATTAACACATCAATTAAACATACATGCGTTCAAAGCCATAAAATAAATCAGATACCATCATACATATAAATTGTAAAATCAATCAACAAACAACAGTAGATAATTTCTGGTTTCGATTCCATTAGCAACTCATAATTAATTATGCATGTTTACTAAAATCGCACAAAATACCACATTATTATTTATTTAAACTTCAATTCTATGATAGGGAATAGGGTGAGGGATTCTTACTCGATTTAACACCAAAGAGCTAAACGGTTTACTGCGCCTACAGAGGATCCCTGGGTTCCCTGAATTTTTCTCCAGAAATTGAAATGCTCTTATAGTACCTACAAATGTACCAAATAAACCCAAAATCAGTTCCAGGGTCCACTCGGCCAATTTCAGAAATTTGGCACGACGGAGGTCTGCCTCAGGTCGACTGTTTTCTGCCAAATTTAGCTGATTTTGCATCGATTCCTGCGAGCAAACACGTTAAAGGGTCTCGGTTGGCCAAAAAAATACTAAAAACTGAAACTCACAAGCGGCATGACTCTTTAATGCGGCGGCTCCTCCGGCTCATATTGCGGTTGGGTGTTTCGCTTCGGTCAACCTATAGAGAAGAAAACGATTATCACAATGGTGAAAAAATTACACGAAATGGAAATCGGCAATGGCCTCATCAGAGATGGTTTGTGAAATTCTCCGCAACGACGCCGCCGAACTTCATCGGTATTTTCCAGCCAATTCGCCAGTCTTTAAACTCCAATTTGGTCATAGGTGAGCTTAAAATCGAATTTCGTGCAAAAAAAAAGTTTTTACCTTTTTTGGCGGTCTGAAAGAGTTTCGTTGCGGTGGTGGGTGGCGGAGGTCAGCTCCCCAGCGGCTGAGTCGTCTTCTTCGGCGAGGGTTCTGGCGGATAGGGTTAGAGTTTGGTACGGATGGAGGTTATTTATATCCATCCACTTTTGATCTGGGTCATCCATTGCTTTTGATTTGGACCGTCCGATCGCAATTAAATAGAGAGTGAATCTGGACCGTTCATCGCGATCCAATCTGGACCGTCTATCGTAATTCACTCTGGACCGTCCGATCGCTTTTGAATCTGGCCGTTCGATTTCGTTCGGGAGGGAGCGCATCCAGACCGTCCGTGCGCGCGAGAACGAACCTCAACCGTTCGATCGTGCACACGCAGATCACCCACGTGCAGCGGTAGGCCACGTTGGCGCATCTTGTTTAGTCAGGGCTGCTAACTCAGCATCTGACATGGCGAAACTTTCCAAAATTATATTTTAGCCCCTATTTTCTGATTTTTCTTTTAAAAATATTCCTAAAACCCAAATTTTCACCCATTTTTCCTAAAATTATTTTGAATTAAATACTCATTACATTTTATTTCATTTTTTACTCTAAATTAAACAAAACAAAATACAATAATACAAAATAAAATAATAAAAATTTATATTTATTAATTTTTAATCCCCAAAAAATGAAATTGTGGGTGTTACAACTTTTCTATCTTAAAATTTTAATTTCAAGTGAGAAATTTAATATATTAAACTTAATATTTTAAACACTAAATGTTAATATTAATTAATAATCTGGCATAGTAAGTCATATTTGATAAAATATATAAATTTTATTGATTAATTAACACATACAATTATTATAACATAATTTTTTTAAAATATATATATATATATAAATATGCAGTTTAATTTAAATTTATAATCTTTTATAAACTAAGAAATTTAGTGACCATTTAGCCAAAACCTTAATGATAGAGTTATATTATTCTTTAATAATTCTATCACCAACTCATTTAAAATTAAGTTGTTTAATTCTAATTCCCATATCACTTCATTTAAAAATTCCTTTCAGTCAAATATTCTCTTTGAAAACGAATTTCCATTCCATCAATGAAGCAAAAGTTAGGAATTATATTATATTCTAATTCCAAATACAATTGTAATGGAAATTAAGAAAATTAAGCCAGATTTGACAGATAAAATTCCTTTAAATTATTATCATTTTCTTAATTCATATATTTATTCCTAATTGTATACATAATACTAATGGCGTTTATATACTTCTGTATCATGTATGTGCGCAGATGTGTGTTACTTTAAGCATTAATAATTAAAAAAAGTAATTTTCATACATAAACATATACAAACTGAAAATTAAAAGAAAAATGTTTGCATATGTCAAGTAGAATATATCAAGTAAAAAATGCAAAGGAGAAAATTCCCACAAGATGGAGCTTTTGTCGGTCATATTTTTAATAGTACTGAATCCTTGAGTTGTCTGTATCTTGTCTATTGGATGCCTCTGATCGTGAGTCGTCAAGGGGAGCTAACCTGCGGAAAATCAACAATCTGGTGCCATGCCTCGGTCCAAGCTTCTCCCATAATGTACGTAAAGGACTTGGAGAATACAGTTGCATCAAATGTTTACATCATGGTTCCAAGGTTTGAATGGCCAAAACTGAAGATACAACCATAAGTGATAAGTCTTTTGTGGCCGCTCACTGTGCTCTTTCCACATCATGCAGTCCATCTTCAAGATGCAACATGCCAGCATTCTTCCACGGGACTATTCCCGTAAGCGATGCTGCTTGTTTCATGGCTTCTCAATTTCAACGCTAGCTGCAACAAGTAAAACTTAAGAAGATGAGTTCCGCTAAAGCTAGCACAACTACTCACTAAAACTGACTTTTGTTAGTTTATTCAATTAGCAAGTATGGTACTTTCCCATATTAACACCAAAGTAGTAGAGACATTGATATTCCATCCTTGAATGAACCTGTGGCAGTAACAGACTTCTCTTCAACATTATCCAAAAGAACTAAGAAAGCAGAAAAAGCTGTTTACCAGTCATGTTCGAGTATGCTTCTTTCACCCCCTAGTCCTTACATTCACCGATTATAAATAAAACCTTCTCCTTGAGCTTCTGAATAGACTGCACAGTACCAAATAAATGCCAAATATAATCAAACAGCATGTGTTATACATCAAGGGATATCAATGTCGAGTTTTTTTTGTGATACACACCAAGCTAGAGATTCTCTGGACAGAAGCAGCAGCACTTTTGAGGTGAGAACAACGTGGAAAATCAAAACTCAAAAAATAAGATGAATTTTCTGTTGCTTCAGCAACCCAGAGTTCATTTTTCTGATCCTTGGCTTTCTTGACAAGATCACAGAATCCAACCTGTTCAAATATGACCATACATGTCACTAATTAAAGAAAAACATTGGGCTTCTCCATTAACCTTTGGTTGGGATAGTGTTTCAGGAACAAGTACTAGTTTTGACAACAGAATCATGGTTATTCAGAGCAGTGAATGGATGTTACGTTGATGTTGCTCCCTCCAAATTTGGTTTGAAAATCTTATATATAATTGTTGCATCCTATTTTTATAAATAGTGTACCCAGCACAGAATAAAGGTAACTTAGTAACTTAGGACTAAAAGTTAACTCAGCTCAACACTATATTTTGCATGGAGTGAATGAAACCACAATACTGAGGATGCTAAGAATTTTAAGCACACACTTTATAAGCAGCAGATCGTCATGTAAAATCATGATTTATATTATCAGGCTGCATCCGACCTAGTTTGGGTCTGTTCGTACTGTTCTAACTTCTACCCTTCTATTAGGATACATGATCTATAAGAAAAAGGAAAGACAACCTATGTAGGAAAATCAGAGAAGTGGCTCTTCAGTTGGAAAAAATTTTATTCACCACAAAACATAGTGTCATCCAAATCATGATTCATATATTATCAGGCTGCACATAATCTAGTTTGGGTTTGTTCATACTGTTCTAACTTCTAGCCTTCTATTAGGATACATAATAAGAGCAAGGAAAGACAAACTATATAGGAAAATCGGAGAAGTGGTTCTTCAGTTGAACAATTTTTATTCGCCACAAAAGATGGTGTTACAGATCCCAGCCAGCAAATTACAGACAGTTGTTCATGTCTGATGCAAGTTAAAGAAGGATTATCCCAATTTAATCTGTTTTTTTTTTTTCAGTACTATTTCAAATTTGCAAGTTCAGTTGGTCTTTTTCTAAGTCAGTTTTTTCAGTATCTTCTAAATGCAGTCAGTTTTTTCAGTATCTTCTAAATGCAGTTTATTTCTTGTTTTCCAAACTAAATAGGGTGTTAATAAAATAAAATGTGGCAGAAAAATTTCAGAAAAGTTCTTCAGTACTTGGCTCTTGGAGATCTGTGTGTTCTCTCTAACTTACCAGAAAATTAATTTAAAATCGGGAACAAATAGAGAAGATCTAGAAACATTCTTCTTTAGTTTCTAACTTTTCTATTTCCAGATCCATTAGAAGATCATAAATTAGGGATTTTACCACATGGATATCTTTTTTCCTCATTAAAAGGAGATACATGAATAAAGTCATGGAATTTCAACTGATCAAAATATGCCTTTGTCCTATTCTATGGACTACTTATGTCTCCTGGTTATTTTGCTACTTTACGATATAAAAGTACCATCTTTGCAAGATTCAACCCTGAAAAATATAAAATACATTTTCTTTTCAGGAAGCAAGATAGCATACTGGAGTTTAACTGTTAATATGCATATATCATACTCACCAAGGATCCAGCAAGATTGTGATTGATTTGCAAAAAGGAATCGTCATCAACACATGGTGAGCAGAAGTTGATAGCAAGTAAAGAATTTGATATTTCTCCTGATTTTATATCTGAAACAGAACCATCTGTCACGAACACCCACTGTTTCCTTCGCTGAGCATCAATATAAACCTCTCCCACATACAGAACCCATGCAGCAATATCAAATTCACTGAACAACACAAGGAAGAATAGGAGTTAAGTTCAATACTTTCTGAGAAGAACAAAGATTGAAGCATCAGCATATGAAAGTTGAGAAAAAGATAAACCTTGAAAGAGGAACTTCACCCAACTTTGATAATGAAACAGATTTGCGTGGATTGAAAAATGGCCTGCATAAAACAGCTATAAGCTTGATTCAATTACAGTAAATATAAAACAAATAACGTACTCGAAGTGTTGAACTGCTTCAGGAGGCACAGGCTCCCACTGTGTGGTAGATCCTCTTGCTTGTAAATAAAGAGTTTCTGAATCTGAGTTCATTGGTATAAGCCCTTTGAAAACATATACCCGTCCTTCGACCAGTTCGCTTTGCTGTTATGGTTGTAAATAAATTTAAAGAAAAAGGTTGGAATCCAAGTGCTCAAGATTTTAGGCTATAGATAAAGGCAAGAAACATAATGAGGAGAAAACGATTAGACCATAGAAGTAAGAATGAAAAGAAATAATGAGAATTAATGAGAAAAAGATTAGCCTGAGAAAAGCACTCATGTAAAAGCATGCAAGACATACATATGCACCACAAAATTAAGCAAACAAATTATGTTGAAGGGGCCAAAGCAGTAGAAGTCAGTTGAAAACCTGCTTCTCCGTTGGATTCCAAATTGTTATCATGCCTTCCTTTTTTGTAATGCTCTTTCCTTGATGATTTCCTGTAGTTAACCCCGTAACTCTTACTCTCACAAACGGAGTGACTTCTCTCTCTCTTAAGCCAGTGTCTTCCAGAGCTTTCTCGATTGTTTTTTCTATCTCTCTTTGCCTAGATGCCTTAGGTCAAAGCAGTCATGGTTAATCACAACTTTCTGGAATAGATCTGTCTTTCAGAAAAAGCATCTGAAACTCACCTCTAATTTGGCTTTATATGTAGCAAATGATGTCAGTTGCTCTGGGCTCATTTCTGCCATTAAAACTTCTGGTTCAGCAGCCGTTTCAAGAATTTTTAAAATCTTCGCACCTTCACTATCACTGTCATTATGGATTGGGTAACTGTTGGGCCCCCTCTGATATTCAGATAAGATACCCTCGGCAATAACTGAGCGCCTGCAGATAAAGAAGATCCCCAAACATGAATTCCAGGATCTTTTGTGAAGGCACTGGACCGTGATCAATTCTGTTTTCTGTCATCCAAGGTGTGCCTTCAAGATCTTCAAACTCCAACTTGAGAAAAAATATTAGAATTAGAAAATTATCTCATCCTAAAATGTAATTATGCTCATAATAGTGTTTTCCTTCATCTATACTTTTACCTGTTTGATCACTTCTCTGTGATATTTATGATGTATACAAAGACATACAAGGAATGACAACACTCAACAAAATTTGCACGACCTAGGATAACATAGTGATATCATGACATGGAAATGGGCAAGAAACATTCTAGAAGAGGTACAAAAAGACTTTGGGGCTGAAAAGCAATAAACTAAAATGAAGTAAAGAGGCAGCATAGAGAGAAAATAAATCAATCACCAAACAGATGTAAAGTCAATGGCCAGGATCAACATGTTTGAAAGAAATACATGCAATAATTAAGAACCTTTGGTTGAATAGTTGCATCATTTTCATCTCCGTCTTCTCTGATCTGACTATAGATTTGCCATTAGTTAACCTGGACCGTAGAGACAGATAAAATTTACTACACTGGATACAGTATGCATACAAGTTTCTCAGTGATGCAGGGTGCATATTGGCTTACCTCTCCTTGTACAGTATAGGATAGACCCGTGTAACTCCAACTAAAGTACAAGGAACTGGGCCCCCATTTCTCTTGATGCACCTAAAAGCCAAAGGATCACCGACACTTTTGCCTGAAGGAACCAATTGAAAATCATGTATGAGTAGAAGAGATGAAAGTGCAGATGAGCTAAATCAGCTAAATATGGCCATGAGACATGAATAAGATATATAATCCATAATCAAAACATTGTTCACAAACTACAGAAAGGTGCATAATCAAAAAATTGCTTACAGAAACCAAGTCGATCGGCCCAGCAAGCTCTGTATGTCCCATTCATATTCAACAGTAAACTGACAGATTTTGATGCCTAAAGTTCCAGAGGGAGAAAATGTGAAGAACTTTGATTGGCAGAAAGCATCAATATTCTAAAAACTTAATCAAGTCCAAAGTCGTCAAAAACCTCGAGGGGTGAAATTGGCCCAACCCAACCAGATAATCCTGCTCCACATATCTTCAAAAGACAAATGAAATTTTAAGCAACAGTGAAGCCTGTCAAAGATGCCCTAGCAAGAGGATAGAAAACCAAGAGCACAGAAGATAAATGCTCACCCTAAGCTTCTGCCCCACAAACAATTTTCCAGAATGAAGCTGCTTTGACAACAATATGTCCAGAAGAGCACCTATTGAATACCTGCGAACCAAAGACATTTAAAATGCCAAATATATTTGAATGTAATCTACACCAATACATTTAGCATTTTCTTACCACCCATCAGTTAGTTCTACTTGAGCAAGGTTCTTGTCATCAGGCCCATTTGTTTCCATGGAATGATTACCAATCTTTTGTTCGCAACTTAGGTGAACGGCTGAAATGCAGAGCACCAACATTGAAGAAGTTGATGCATCCCCGTCAAGAATCCTCTTAATTGCAGAACGGTGACCATGATTTACTTCTCTCTCATATCTATGCAAATGACGCATAAACTGTGATCATAAATTCATATAGATAGAGACCAACAAAAGAGATAAAATTTAAGATACCTGTACTTTAGTTCCTCAAGCACATTGGATAGAGTCAAAAATTTCCCAGTTGATTTGGATGGATAGCATCTATCATAACATGCAAGTTTCCAAACTATCCACTTGTAGTGATTTCTGACCCACCTAGACACATTATAAGATAAAACTTGATGGACTCAAAAGCCAAACAAGAGGCAATCGATATATCACCTAATAACAAAGGTTTAAAAAAGGGATGTTTGTATAATACTAAAAAACATGCTAAGCAGAACCAATTATAGTCTTAGATGCAGAAAAATTATCTACAGTTGAAGCCTAACTTTCGACCAGCAATAAAACGATCATTCTAATATAACAAAACTATTTATGCAATTCTCAAGCAACAAGCTTCATGTCAACTCTGCATAGTTCAAGAGGGGGCTTCTGACTAAAAAGAACATCTTTGATTTCAAAAAGATCAAGAATGGGGAAACTACTCTTTAGACACATGTTGAGTTGAAGCTCCTGAGTGCACCAACATATGGAAGAAACCTTCCGCCCCAATGCTGTTACCAGAATCATCAGTAAACTCGTATTTATCTGCATTATCTGATCTTACTTGGTGCAGTGAATGCTCTAGCTGAAATTAGGGAATGTGAAGAGATTTTATTGGTAGGAAAACCAATTCATATAGGATACCCAATATAAAGTAAGGATGGAATCCTCTTACCTTGCTCTGGGCCAATGGCGGCAATACAAAATATTCCTTGATGTATACTCTTGGAACCTGAAATGGGTACCTAGTAGAGACCACCCTTCTGGAGCAGGAACGTTCTGATGACAAAGAAGACAAACCTGAAAAAGTGAAATTGTTAAGGACCGTAAGTTCAATGACTAACATAAGCAGAGTTACTTCAAGAGCCTCATCAATTTTACCATTGGAAACAGTTTTACTTGTTTTATTCAATGGAGTTGAGAATTTTGAACTGCGAGGTCTCTTGAATGGGGACATAGAACTTGCACTTCCAAGCCTCCTTTTTTCAGTAGCAGTTGGTTTATTGTTTATGTTAACTTTACCAACATGATTTGATATGTCAGTGAGGGGCATGCAAGAAGACTGTCCAAGAGGATTAATCCTTGAACCAGCACCTTTTTTTGAAGAATAATTTATTATTGACTGCAGTGCAGAAGACCGAACATCTAAGGGCTCATCCCTCGAAGATTTGCTACTACTCAAAGCACAAATATTTTCATCACTGACTGCCTCAAATTTCTCGATCAAGTTACTTCCCAGAGCTAAATTTTCTGAATTGAATGGTGATCTCAACTGCTTGTTAAATGATTGCAAAGGGGATATGAAAACCCTTGACACGCATACATTCTTCTCAGTTCCTTGATGAGAACAAGGAGTGTATTTATCTTGTTCCTTGTTCAACTGAATACCACCAGATTTCCTCAAGGAATCATCTGCATCCATCTTGTCCAAGAAATTCCCCAACTCTGGATCACCAAGGAGACTCCTTGCTCGTTTCAATGCATCACCAGAAACAGATAATGATCTTCCACCGGCTGTATGAAACTTCATTGGGGGCATCTTGGGAGTCGAATTAAGAATGTCATAATGCATCCCAGTTGAATTAACCTCACTGTTCAAATCACTTCCAGCTAAACATGCCTTGAAACTTGAGGAATGCATTTGAAATGATGAAGAATCTATAACCCCATAATTATTTGTTCCCTCTTTTGTATCTAAATTGTCCCGTCCTTTCTGCTCAGTGCAATCAGACAGATCTCTCACACACTCCCCTTGCAAGTTGCAATGAGCATTATCTTCTTCCAATCCCAACAGTTTCTTGGCTCTAACAAGACCGGCCGAAGAAATATTAACTGATTTTCCAGAACCCGTTTGGAAAAAAGAATTCAAAGAAACAAGGCCATTATCTCTTCTAAGCATATCACCTGCACAACAAATTGAAGCTAAAACAAGCAAGCTCCATAGTATCACAATCCTAAGTACTACTAATTTCTTGTACCAAAAATCATATCAAACTATACATTGTAGCAAGAAAACAAAAATAAATGCAACAGATTTCGCCGTCTCAATTCCAATGTCAATTGGAAAGCAAATGGCTAAAAAGCCCAGTAAAGAGTTCTTCAGCAGATATCCCGTTATTTTTCAGTTGAAATTTTTGCGATACAACACACAGTGAACGCATATTCATCCACACAAAAAATGCAACTTAGTCGCCTTATGAATCCCAGTATCAAGAAGATAGGGTTTTTACCAACTTTATATGAAGCAACAGAATGCAAACAAACAAATAGAAAGAAAAGAAAACACTGGAGCGAGTGAAAGAGCACACACCCGAGGAAGTAGCGCCATCGTCATCGAGAACAGACAACGCTTTAGCGATTGATGACTCTTTCAACACCACCGACTTACCTAGTGCGGTCCTGAACAACGGCAGTTTCTCAGCTTCCCGTTCACCTATCTCTAGAAGCTTTGAGCTTCCTGCTGTACACAGAAATTTCAAAAATATACATACACATATTTTTGAAATATATAGAGAGTGCGTGCGTGCGTGTGTGTGTGTTTGCTTGTGTAGGGTTTGGTATGGACGGAAGAGTCACCTTGAAGCAAGAGGTCAGCCATGGAAGGGAGCGGCGGGCCAGAGTTGATGAAGCGGTCATCGGATTTGGATGGGATTACTCGACCAGATGATATCTCCCACCGGAAATTATTATCGCCGGCGTCGGAGAAGATTTGCCAGGTAGACATTTCCCCAAATTTTGATTTCCGGGGCGCCAATGAATTAATTTTAAGCTCGAAGAAACGTTATTTGGATTTATACTCTATGAAGGCGGGAAAGATGAAAAGGGAGAAGGAATTTGGGCCTTTATACGTCGTCGTTGAGTTGACAGTAAAACGCCCGTAGTTAATTAGAAGTAGCAAAAGGGCCTAGTCCAGATGAACAATTTGGGCCCACAAACTAACTAAGCTATACACTACAAGTATTTATTAAATACGGTCTGATATTTTTGGTATCTATTAAAGTTGATAAATCTTGCAATACATTAGGGATTTTGTTTGAAAAATAATGTCATTGCTGTCTCTTAAAATTGAGACATAAATTTCCCCCAGAAAATTTTGAGATACGAAATGTGTAAACAAGATAAGTTAATAATTTTAATATGATTTATGGGAATTTAAGTCTAAATCTATTTGAAAATTCATATTTTGTTCAACTCAAATTTAAGACAATAATGGAAAAAAACTCTTTTAACTTCCTATGGAATTTTGTGTGTGATTAAAATAATATTATTCTATAGATAAATCACATTTAATTGTAAATTAATTAGTTAAATTTTGAGTTAGTGAAGCGACAAGTTGAAATTGTTGAAGAGAGGATTTAGGGGGTGGGGCCAGTAGGGGAGGGGTGCACCGGCTAGACATGGAAGTGGATTGAGAAGTAAGGTCCATTAAATTTGATGCGGGTTAGGTGCAGCGCACAATCATTTCCGGTTCTGGGCGTAGGTACATTTACTGATAATAGGATAGTCATGCTAGATATGTCGGGAAGTGGGCCCAGATCCGCTATGATAATCACATTTACACCCCAACATGATTCCTGGTCCCGCTTTGACTTGTTGACCCTATATTTTATCTTTTATTCTAAACAAGAATATTGGAAATTTAAAAATAATAACAGAGCATAATTTCTCGAGGTGCTTTTTTTTTTTTTTTTTTTTAACGAGAGCAGTAATATTATTATATGTGATAATTAATTTAAACGTGAGACAACAGTGAAAAGTACTTCTTTTATGCTACTAAAGTTTTAATTATATTATTTTTATTAGGTCATTTAATTGCTCTCTCTCTCTCTAGATGGTTTGCTATTTACCATATTTAATTATATTATTAATTATTTTTTAATTTTAACTCCATTGTAATTTCATAATTTCTCAAACGAAAAAGACAGCATATAAAAGAAAGAATTTAACTCCAAGAAACAAAAAAGATTGAATTCATGGTGCCCAATCTTGGAACTCCACGTGGCGGAATAGGAAATCAAAAAGATGAGATGTGACAAGCGCTCAACCTCCATGCAATCACCATTTGAACCAGGTGCCGTCTACACTTCAAAAATCTCAGTCCACTGAGATTCAAATAAAACATTCTCCATTTTATATATATATATATTTTTTTTTATTCTAAAACAAATAATTAACATTTATATACATACATATTAATTTCTACTATAATTTTTTTAGTTTTTTTTTTCAATTTATTATATATATAATTCATTTAACTAATCCAAACCAAAATCGAATTGTTAAAATACTCAGGTCTCTAATTTTTTGAACTAAGACTTACTCATATATAAACCAATTTTGCCATATTTCATATTAACTCGATCTAACATTTTTGTTTATAACAACAATTAAACAACAACATATGTATTTTTAAAGGAGTATAAAAAAATATAATTATAATTTTTTTAAAAAATAAAATTTAATTTGATCATTATAAATCTATTAATAATATTAATTAATTAAATTAAATATTATTAATTAATCATTATTAATTTTATAATATATTTTTAAAAAATAAAAAATATTATATTTTAAATTAAATTTTAGGTTCATTAGCAAGACGTCATACAATATTTTATTATATCCTAAATGTTTTCCTACAACATTTTGTTGTTGCAACGCCCGGAAATTTGAAAAAAAAAAAATTTATTATTTTATTATTAATCATTTTAATTAGGTTTATAAAAAAACGTCACGTCAGCAGACCCAGTCAGCAGTCCCGGCCAATCAGGACCTGCCACGTGGCAAAACCACGTCGACCGGGGACGGGCCACGTTGGCGATCCGCGTACGCGCGATCGGACTGCCCAGATCAAGCGTGCGTACGGACGGCCCAGATGCAATCGCACAGACGGCCCAGATTCAATAAAAAACGGACGGTCCAGATTAAAACAAAATGGACGGCTGAGATCAAAAGGCAAAAGGGTATAAATAGAACCCCCACACCTGACCACAAAAACCCTAGCCGCCTGCCTTCGCCGGAGAAGACGAACCAGACGCCGGAGACGCCGGCCGCCGCCACCCGCCGCCGCACCGGGGAGATTTCCGACCGCCGATCGAGGTAAATTTCATACCCCCGACTCGTTTTTCCACGCTGATTTTTCCTGTGGCCAAATCGGAGCCAAAATCCCGGCCAAACAGCTGAAAAACACGGCCGAAACCCAGCGGCGCCGCCGCGCCCCTTCTCAGTTTTTGCCTCCGATGAGGCCCTTCCCGGCCTCCGTTTGATGCAATTTTTATATCACCGTGATCACCATTCTTTTCTCTACAGGTTGATCAGAGCCGAATCACCAAAACACGAACTTCACCGGAGAGCCGCCGCACCCGAGAGCACCGCCGCCGGTAAGCTTCGGTTTTCCGTAATTTTTTGGCCCCCCGAGGGCCCTAGGGTTGTTTTATCGCAAGGACCAATGCAAGTGTGGCCGAAAACGGCCAAACCGAGGCGAATCGCCGCCGCAAGCGGCGGCGCCGTCGCCAGAGCACGGCGGAGCCGCCGTGCCAGAATTGCGATATTGGCCAAAAAGGGGCCCTGGGCCTAATTTGGGATTTTTCAGAACACGTGCAGGTACCAGTAGTGTGTTTCAGTTCCCCGGAAAAAATTTAGGGAAAATTAAGGACAGCCTGTAGGCGCACTGTGAAGCCGTGTTCGGACCCCAAAACGAGTAAGGACCCCTCACCCTATTTCCTATCACGGTATTAAAGTTCAACAATGATAAAACGGTATTTCTTGAATCAACGAATGTGTGAAATTGCTTAAGGTCGCTAATGGAGTCCGAGTCTAGTGTGTTTGTCGGTTAACTGTTATTTGGCCTATTTTACAGTTTAAAATGCAGTATGAGGTTTGATGTTTTCATTTTATAGTTTCGTGTGCATATTTTACTGTTTTATTGATTATGAATTGAATGACTAGGATATTGATACTGTATGTTGTCTGTTTGGCATAAATTACCGTTTTGCTTGTTTGTATGTGGATTAATGATGCTGACTGAGGAAAAAGAGAATGAAAGATTATATAAATGGGTAATTGTATAATGGGGTCAGCCTGACTAGATATCCTGGGAGATGGTGGACGGATCGGGTCTGTAGGGAACCCTACTGGGATTGTGGTCTCCCATACCGGACGGGGTATGGAGATCTTATGTGTTTTGGCGCCCATACCGGACGGGGTATGGGGACGGCCCTGGAATCTGATTTCAAGTGTTAAGGGTTAACGGGTAGCGTGACCCCTATGGATCCCCATGGATACTATTGGTCTGGTAAATGAGAAAAATATGTTGTGTAACGATTGAATTACAAAAGGCTTGATAAGTATTATGTTATACAGTTTATATATGATTCCATGATGATGATAATGTTATTGCTTTCGTATACTGTTTTATGAATTTCACCGAGGTAAGTGGATGGTGAAGGATTTATTATTGATAAAAGAATTTGTTGTAAATTATGCTCCATTGGTCTTTTTGTGTTTTCTACCCACCTTTACCTCCGTGACGGTGAGATATGGTGATGTCTTTACTGGGCCAGTGTAGCTCATTCTTTATTTAATCATTTCAGATCAGGAAGACATTATTCCCGAGCCGGTTCCGCATGAGGACGACGAAGGGGACGCCTAAAGACTGCATAGTCATATTCGTAACTTTTACTTTCAAGTTTCTCCTTTAGGTAGTTTAATTTTTTATATTTTGTGAGCACGTTTTTTGTTTTAGTGTAAGAGATGTTAATCGAATTTTTGACTTCACTTCCGCATTTGATATTTTTAATATATATTTTATTTTAAATTTTCAGAGCCGTTACAGTTGTATCCTAAATGTATTTCCTACATTAATTCAAAACTACAAATATTTGTACAATTTTACGAGTGACAATTACCTGGAAATTTTGGTATACAATTAAAACAATAGTTCTACTAAAATCAATTGTTATTATTTAGAAGAATAAAATATTAAAAGTTATTCGGCTACAATGCTGTTGAAACGGCAGAGTTGGTCTAACGGGCCATATTAAAATTCAAGTTCGAAAAGACAGTCACTTCAAATCCCACTTTTAACTATCATTTTAATTAGTTTTATCTCCAATATATATATATAAATTGATTTCGATACAATTTTAATACAGAATAATTAAATTAAATTAAATAATTAAATAGTAATAGTTACGAGGCACGGCATGAATTAGAGTAGAGGATAAAATAATAATTATATTAAATGATTTTATAATTTAAAATACTTTGAAAGACTTGAGAACATGCCCGATTGAGGGAGTCCGATAAAAAAAAAGGGGTATTTTGGGAAAAGAAAGTGCGTGGGGGATTGTGAGGAACTTCTGGAACATTTCCCGCTTCTTACTGATAAGGCCGTGTCCAGACTCACGCAGCTTCAATTTCCAAAGTCCCCTCTGAATCAGTGACACTTTTTTACTTTACACACTATGTATACATGTGGAGGTAAATTCGTTCCTAATCGGTAATTACCACCAACATTCTTTAAACTACATTGGGTTAAAAATTTTGTTAGCCTAATTTATTGCAATTTGCATATTAAGCAATAATCCAGAGTAATTATATAAACATTGAGTTTTAAAAATTAGCTTCTGGGTTATACAATTTTTTAATTAGATAATTATAGCAAGGAGTTGGGTAATAATTAATTAATACTCCACCCAGCTAATTCCAACCAGTCACATGGCGAACACTTTATTGTGGGGATTCTGGTGAATCTTTGGCACCATTTGATTGATTAAACTTTATACACCAATAAGCAAAGCTGGTGTAGGTTGCAGGAATTCTACCACCTCACAATTTCAAGCACATTTAAAGCAACTGAAACAATGCCACACTTGTTTCGTAATCTATCTCCAAAATTAATTTAATAATATATACGTATATAGTGTTTACGATACATGGGTGGTGTGGGATTGTCCTGAAGTCATTCATTGAGAAGGATAAAAGCTGACCCAAAGGTAAATGAGGAGTGTCAGAATGAATGTTTGCAAGTTTTTAGAGAAAGAGATACATATATATGATGAGAGGCACGCATAGATACATACATGTTTTTTCATTTATTGGATCATTGTATGTGTTGTTATATCATTAAAAGGGATGAATGAATAGGGTGTAATGGCATCCTGTGGTGGTTTCGGAGATGCTCCTAGCTGCTTACACTATGCTAGCTATATATTTATAGGTAAAAAATGATTAATGTACTGTCTACATCCCTTTAATAAATTGAAGGTTGATTTCTATCGTAACAGTCACTGTATATATATATATATATATATATATATATATATATATATAGTAGGCTTTATTTTCAGTCACAGTCCTAATATTGTATTCAGCACAAAAACATGGCAGCTCTTCAATTTTGAGTTTAATTTCAATAGGTTAATTGCATATTGAGTTTTAAAAATTAGAATTCAACCATTTTGTCTTGAATAAATATTACAAATCAATCTAACAAATTATGACTTGTTTCTCTAAAAAAAAATAGAAAATATATAAGCAGGTAAAAACTTTTAAAAAAAAATTATTAATCAACTATAATAAATATTTATTGAATATGATATGAAACTTAGAATGTAAATAAGTACCAATTAAAGATTTCTCACTCTCCTAAGTAATAGAAAAATATGTCCTATGTGACTAAAGTATTTAATTTAAGAAAATTATCTTAATATAAAAGTGTAATAAAATAGAAACAAATTTAATTTAATCAATAAGATAAATGGACTAATCATATTACATAATATTTTATTTGATATTATATTATTATCACATGTGTCGGAGTTTATATATAAGTAGTATGTCCCTTAGTGGAAAAAATATATTAAAATGATCATGTGACCAAACATCAAGAGTTGGAACATAACATTTTAGATCTCTCATCCCTTTTTTTATCACAAAATTTAAACTTCTAATTCTCATTCAACATCATAGGTAGTAAATCCATATTTTCCTCTATCCATGACACAAATTATCAAATAACTCCTTTCATCCATCACCCCTCTTTTTTTAATAAATACAAATAAAAATTCTTAAGGTCGAGAGTTCTATTTTTTAGTACTATTAAATATTCCATCATTATTTGTAATTTATCTCATTTAAAATTTTAGACATGTAACAATATCATAAATATGTCATATTAGAATAATTTTATGATTCTTCAGAAGCATCAACATGTAGAGTCACAACTAATCCTCTATGAATGGGATTGAGCACAAAAATATGTTGATCATATACAAAGACGTGAATCCAAAATATACACGTGACAATAAGATGTAAGCCTCTTGTTTTCTTAGTATAAACTAATCATCTAAAACTTGTTGGAGGTACCACCCCATGGATCTCAATTAGAGCTAGCAAAATGGCAAAACATATTTCGTATACAGAAGGGCTTAATTCATAGATATTTGATACATAATGTTACATGTTTTGACAAAAAAAATATATGATAATTTATAAATGTTTAGAGATATTTTTAAATATTTTTTCAAAAAAATTTCAAAATAAATATTGAATAGTAAGAAAGCGCTCAACATGGACTCCTTAAACATATGTTTTTTTGTTTCTAATGCTTAAGATGTTTAAGCAATAATACCACATGAATGCTTGGTTATCTATGAAATAAATACCTGTTTTTTTTTATTATTAAATGAGCATCAATTATCTAAATTTTATTATTAATTGATTAATTTATAAAAAGGTAATTGATTAATTTTATTTAATTAAAAGAAAAAATTATGGAAAACTCATATTTTACCTATAACATAAAAGGACGCAACTAAAACAAATTTAGGTAAAAATAAATAAAAACTCTACTTCGTTGCATTGTTAAAAAAAGTTGCAAGGAATAAAGATTGTTATGGAATTCATAATTCTATATGTATATTTTAAATTAATTAAAAAGTATAAAACAAATAATAAAACTATATTTATGACTTATTTTAACTAATTTACAACAAAAATACTTTGGGTAGGCATTTCTTGCACTAAATAGTCCCAAATATTACTTAGGAGCACCTCTACAAAGACATTATCTACCTAATGTCACCACTTACGAGACCTACTTATATAATCAATGTTAAGTGATCATTTAGATATTTAATATTATTTGGAGATAAGTTATATATTTTTCCATTGAATGTTAGTACCTGTACTAATTGGTTAATGAGTTAGTACTTAATATTCACGAGCTAACAAGATGTCCTAGTTTATTTAGGTACATTTATAGTACTTAATGTTATATATCTAAGTATCTCGACTCACTATTTGCCTATACATACCTAATATATGACTCCTATAATCAAGTTTTCAAAATATATTATTTATAATCTATCAACTTACCACATAATCAATTAATTATTAAAAAAGAACTTAAATCCCTACTACTAGAAATTAACTTCCAACTACATTTGAGATTCCTATATAAATTACCATATTTTTTCTAATCTTATTAAATTTTCATTATCATTTATGACAAAAATAGGACAATTTTATGCGGATATTCTTATTAAGTATTAGAGTATTATTTGTCGAAAAATACTTAGAAAAAATATTTAATTTTTATTTTAAATCTACGACGAGTGCAAGTTATATTATTGTTCCCAAATTTATTTTTATAAATTTGATTTTAGTAATATATTATTACAATATGATTGATAATTTAATTTAACTTATAATCTACTACCATTTATTTATTTTAAGCGAGACTATACCGATTGGTATTAGAAGCGCAAGCTAATGGTAAAGCCGGTTATGAATTATAAAATCTAATATGTATCTAACTGAATAATTTTAATTTTAATTTTGAATTTATATCTTGTATGGGTAAATATTTTTGTGGGTAAGTAGAAAATTCACTTGCTAGACTTTGGCATTAGGCACTTGTCATAATCAATTGAAAATAAATTAGACCACGTGATTGAATTGACAATGGGATTAATGTATGGGACCACCATGTAATGGATTGGTGAATAGGTGAAAAGATGGCAAAAGTACAAAGAAGCAAAACCCTCCTTTGGTTAATATTAAGATCATCAATTTAGAAACTTTTCAAATCTATAAAAGTTTGCAGACCCACAGCAAACAGTTAAAAAAACTATCCTAAGTTGTAATTCACTTTTAATAATTTTAAATATGAACCACCTCATACAATCTTTGTTTCTTAATCAAACAATTTACCTTTAAATGGAGTTGGTAACTATATATTTGTAATTTTCAAGGGGAGAAAAACATTGTCAAGTTTTCATTACGCAAA